CTGTACCCAGGAGGGGAATGAAATGAAATGCCTGCTCGGTGTCAGGTCTGGCTTTTCTGACCATGTGCTCACAGCATGTTCTGGAGATCTTTGTAGTTAGGAAACTCTTTTAGTGCCATGCACTGCAGGTGTTACTCCGCATCCTTTGAAGGATGAGCAAGTCGTCTGGGAACATGCAAAACTGGATCAGGGATACTAATTCAGGCACATCTGTGTCAACTGACCAAAAATGATGGAGTGCCAGTTAAAAAGTCAGCTTTTCTGGTAGGTCTCGGGGCATTCCTGACAACTGCAAAAAACAGCTTGTACGCAGCACTATGTCCTGAGCAGTGTGTGCTGCTGGGTCTGGTTACGTCGGGAGATTCGGCAGAGGGGATGTCTTTGTGACTTTTCCTTTGCAAAGTTTGCCATTCTTGGTGAAGGACGTCTTGTGCTCTGAAATGATTGCTGTGTCTCAGTTAAAGGACAATGGATACTTGTCACTCCAAACCAGACAAAACCAAAATGTTACCTTGTGCAGCTATGAGTTGTCCCTACCAATGGAGATGGCAGTACAGGACAGTGAGTATCATTGATGTTATTACTAGTATTGTATTTAGCTACTAGTATAGTAGGACTGATTTGACTTCAGGAGAGGAATATATTTGTTATAACCCACATGAATCCTTCCTCTCTCTATCAGCAGCTCCTTAAAACAGCACTCAAGGGTGCAGGCAAGTGGATGTGCTGCTTGTGCCTGTAGACCAGGTGAAGGAGAGCTTTGACTCTCGTCGTGGGCTGGCTGCTTGCTTTACAGAAAACGTGCTTTTGCCTTCTGACCGTCCAGCTGTCTATAGCAGTGTTTGCTTTCTGTGACATCAGTGAGAGATACATAGTGCTCTGAATGGCTTCTCCATAGACTGCTCCTTGTCAACCTGGATTATGCTTTAATATTTTAATTTTTCCCACTACTTTGTCAAGTCTGCAGGAAATTCACCATTTCCTTAATTTCCACAAGCTTCACTTGCACTTGCTGTGTGAATTCTTTGAATCCACAGGATCAAATCAAAGCTACTCCTTTTGGCCATCCAAATTATAAACACACTGACTATGATGCATTGTTTTAAAATGACCTGTTAAAATTTAAAAGGATTTCCAAATATTTTAAATAATTGCTGAGCAGAGTCGGATCCTTCATCAACGTCCTGCAAGGAAAATGCTTGAAATAAGTCAGGAAAACATGCAGAAGGGGAAAAAAAATGCATCCTACTCCCATCAATATTTCTACCTCAGTTTCTCAGGCCTACCTCAGATCAAAGAAACCGCTGGAAAGAAACAGTATTGCAAAATAGTGTCAGAAAGGAGGTGACCGCTGATTTAATTTGCAGAGTTTCCCAGGAAGCTAAATCAAAGGCTGCAGTTCAGTGCCGCGCGATGGGACGGCTCAGGCGGACGGGAACCGCGACTCCGCTAAGGCGCCGCAGCGCCAGAGCTCGTAGAGGGCTGTTGTGAAGAGGTTGAAGTCGTAACAGCCGAGTCGGGGCGTAAAGAACAGGTCGGTGGCAGCGTGTGGGCTGCGAGCAGCGGCTGCTCTTGCGCAGAGAGGTGAGGGGAAACCTCCTTGACATGTTTCTGATGAGGGGAAGAGGAACAAATGACAGAGAAGGAGATTTCTCAGTGCATCAGACAGCATGCAGGCAGTGAAATATGTTGGGTTGTTGTGTGATCAGAGATATCGGATGTATTTTATCACAAATGTGCTTTGCTGAAGAATCAGGTTGAACCTTTTGGAGAAAAACAGGCAGACAAAGAGAAAAAGATTGTTTTCTCTAATTTTCTCATGCCAAAAGAATACTTAATCCAGTTTTTCATTCACTTCTATTTTCTTTGCATCAGTCCCAAGAGTAAAATATATTTGTTTCTTTAATATTATTTATCTGGAAAGACTTGGAACTGGATCGTTGTGTATTATACTTCAGACATGTGGTGTGTCTCGTACTTACAGTGTTATAATTAGTCAGACATGCTTATTTATTGCATGCTGATATTCTAACTCTAGGTCTATCAAGTGTTATGACAGTTTGTGAGATTACTTCACTACATGATTATTTTTATTGTCGTGATGATGCCATATTGATCTAGATTTACTTTTGCTCCTGTGCATCAGAATACTTAATTTTATGTCATAATAACATGAGTGTAAGAGAAGTGAAGGTTTTCACCTTTTCAGTTATAATTTCTAACTTAATTCTAACTAAGAATTTTTTAATGCTTTAATGGTTTTTTTTCCCGTGTGATTGAACGAAGCTGGCGTCATCACCAAGCTTGCAAGAGAGGAAACGCATTTTAAATGTTTGGTTTGTAAAAGATGTTGGTGTTATTACCTTTGTAAACAGAAGATGATGGACAGAAAATCTGCCGAATTTTCAGCAAAAGGGAGTAATTTTTTCAGCTTTTTCATTTCTTAATGGAAGAAGAATTATGGAAATGAGAGCAGGCATTGCATTAAGTGCTTGAAATGTTCCTTCCCTACAGACCAATAAAAACATAACTCTTCCATTAGGGAAATTTAGGTTTTTGAAGGTTGCTTGAATCTGAGCTCTGAATCAGTGAATGAGATGACTACGCTGGGATAAGCGTTTCAAGGTCTGATTATGTATTTTGAGCCTTTCATAGGTGGATACGAGCTTTTAGCTTATCTTGTCAGACTTCTTTGGAGCCCCTTTTTCTTTCATTCTTTTTGTACTAACCACTTGGCTTCTCTTATAGTACTTTTGTAGCGCAGTCTCCTGTTATGTAGATCAGTAACAAAGTTTTAAAAGCCGTGGGGTTTGAATGATTTTTCCTACCTGAATTTGGACTAGAAGGTTTCGTGGCCTTTTCAAAACACTCTAGCTACTTGCATAACTCCATAAACAAAAGTCAAATACTGAAAGTCAAAAATGCGACCTTGCTGTGCTTGATCTGCTTATAGTCTCACCTATGACTGTAGATTATGCAGATTGTAGCTATTTGCCTTTAAAAATACCTTTCATCTCTAAGTGTGAAATGAAAATACAGCAGTAAACTGCTGTCGCTGGGAGTGCTCAAATTAGGTCCCTGATCAGGGCTATGGTGAATTAATACCAGAGCAAGTGGGGATTCAAGTCAAGCCATCTTTTTTTCTGTGCTATTAACCATAAAATAGTAATTGACATTAATTTCTAGGTTCTAGAAGAACACAAATAAAAATTAAGAAAAAAGCACAAAATCATTACCGCTGCTCCTTACTTCTAACTTATTCATCGTGTTTCAGTTTCAGATACTATATTACTTAAGCTGTCAAGCACATCACAGGGGTATATAAGGATGATTTGTCCTCATTTAGTGTATGAGGAGACAGGGGCACTAAGAGCTTCTGAAACTTTTCCAAGGTCTGGAAATGATTAAGTGGAATTCTTTATTATTCTTATTTAGTTGTAAACAGTCTGAATGTAGCCGTAGTGGTCTAGTTGTAATTAATAAAACAAATCTCCTTTCCCACTTTTTTGCTGAAGGGCTGATCCCATGGGTCATGCAGCACAAATAGTTAAGGCACCAAATGTAGTTATTGTGAATATTTGTTCACGGGGGGCTGGTTTTATTTTAGTTTTTTGAGGTTTGTTTTCTGCAAACACTGCTGGAAATCATTTACTTGTCACTAGAAGTGTTCCTTGAAGCTCCAGTCCATCACAGGACTCCCATGAGTGCATTTCTGGGATGTTTTACATGCAGACAGCCTAGTCCTTCTGCCACAATCCAGAAAAACGGCATCAGTGCAAATATTAGTTATGTTCCTTATAACTTCAAGAGGCAAGGACAACATGCCTGGCCTACACCAACCTCCATCCTCATCCTGATTATTCATTCCTAACAGAAAGATTTTGAAAGATTGGAAAGAGACATGGTGTAGGAAGCATACAGACCTAAAATGTTCAACTCCTTGCTGATTTTCTTGCTAATTTATCCCCTCCACCAATCCTATGGCTTAGTCCGTTGATGAATTTAATCAGCTGCCGGCTTTAGACATTATGAAGAGATCCTGGCAGTGAATTTCCACCTCACACATTAGATTTTTGGCTGATTTAAGTTGAGGTCACCGTGTGCTAGCCTCTTAGGTGTCTAATAGCCCTGGAGAAACCAACTGTGTAGACTGGGGCTGCTTGTAGTAAACACGAGTTCCCGGGTGTCTTGGATGCATTTGCACACAGAAGGAGCCAGATGGTTTTCTCTGTGGGTTTTCTTTGGCTTCACTCTGTGGGAGAAATACCTGAGATGGATGCTGCTGGGTAGCTGTGTGGCTTCTGTGTGTTAACAGCTGCTCTAACTCTTCTCTCAGAAGTATATTTAAAGCATAAAAATAAAAAATGAGCAGAAATCTGTGTGGTCAAGTGGGGAGTGGGGAAGACTTCATGTGTTGTGTACTGCCAGACCCGATGGGGTGGGTCGGTCCCAGACTGGAATGTGATGGTGGTACTTACCGGATGGTTCGTAAGTGCTTTGAGATCAAAAGCACTTTCTACATGTTAATAAGGTTTTCTATTGACAGCCCTTGGGCACAGCTCGCTCACATGGCCATGTGGTACCCAGACACAGTCACCCATTGGAGTCATCTGAAGCTGTGTGCCATATTGCAGATTTGATTCTGAAATGCACCACTGCAGTCAGCCACCCTCCCAAAACACCATGACCTTTGGGAAGCTTAGGTCAGGTCCCATATCACCTGTACATTTTAAACCAACAGGTTGGTTGGCTTATACTGGCCATAAAGCTAACCATCCCGAAACCAAGGCTGGTCTCTGGGATGTTATCTGGGCCAGAGGTGTGGACTGTGGTTAGACAGTACAAATTAAGGCAGGGTAGCCTGCACCTCAACCACATGCCCAACCCTGGGGCTGTTAACAGCAGCCCAGCAGCATTAGGCAAAGCTCCAGGTGTTGCAGGCAGGCTCCTCTTGGGCAGCTGCCCCGTCTCACATGCCTGCTCTCGTGGTTTCGTTCCAGGGCAACCCACTGTACTTCCAGTCTGCCAGAAATGTGACAGTGAACATCCTCAATGAGAAGACTAAAGTCCTTACTCGCCTTGTAACAGGTAAGGAGGGGGAAAGACTGTGTGGAGGAATCAAGGAGGGATCAAAGAGAGTGTGTCATGGGATGCTGTGTTGGCTTTAGCACACAGGAGGGGAGCCCAGGTGTCTTGTGAAGTACAAATGAAAACTTCACTCCACTTTGTAGAAACAAAGCTGGAGACATGAAAGCGGTGCTGGAGAGGCAGCTGGTGGGTGCTTTCTGGTAATGCAGCAGACCATTGTTTTCATTTGAAAGCCAATCCAGAGATGGAAAGGTTAGTTGTACGACTTCAGGGGTCAAGAAGAACATATGCAGGCTGACATTTCTGTTGTAACAGGCACAGGCTTTTCCTGAGACACTGTTAACTTGCCTGAGATCTTGGGAACTCTGCTGATTAACTGCGACTGGGTTGGGACACTGCAATTTAGAGCCCTCTGTGCGGTTCTGCTGATAAAGAACGCTCTCCTGCTCCCAAGCATGAGCGTGTTTGATGGGGAAATGGGTGCTTCATAAATCCCCAGTGCACAGTAGCCTTTGAATGAATGCATGTGTCATTTGGGTTGAAAGAGCTAATGCATTATACATGCTAATATATAATATATATATATGATATAGGATAGATATTTATTTATTGAGATTTATCTAGGGACTGGGAGAAGTGTTGCTGTGTGGCAGAGCCAATAATCCATAAACATGTTGTTTCTACGTGAGACTGAGTTGTTTGGTTTGCTTATATAACATCTTGGCCTCTAGTCACAGTATTAAATAATTAAATATGCAGCTTCAGTAAGCAGTGATTTAAGCAGCACGCATGAAAATTGCCTGGAGGAAGGAAATAAATTCAACCCCAAGCTCCCTGATTCTCACATTCAGAATGAACGTGTTTAGTTTGTTGGTTCTCCATAGTTTTTCAAGAGGATATTTGGTTCACTTAGGCACCTCCATTTCATAAGAACTTGGGAGGACGCAGTCAGTGACGTCTCCCAGCGTGACATTCTGGTTATTGAGCTTGTTCCTGAGTTCAGCAGCAGCTTTGGGTTCAGAGAGGAGCAAAGACATCGTCACATGTAGTCTATGCTGCAGTGATGAGTAGGGAGGCAGTTAATTAGCAAGGTACAAATCAAACTTAAAACTCAAAAGTACTGGATTTTCTCAGAATGGCTGCAGGATTTTTAAGTGTTCCCAGGGATCTTGGCGTAGCCTCACTTTTCTGTAGTCTGAACCATGCACGTGATTCTTTATGTGCCCTGATGCTGATACAGGTGACCTGTGCAGGTAAATGCTGGGCATAGATGGAGTTAGAAACTTCCTATAAGAAAACGCTGGCTGTCAGCTCTTATTCCTCTTGTCTTTTGAGAAACGAGACTAGTCAGGAAGATGACCAGCAGTAATGCAAAGTCTGATGACCTGCCTTGTGCCAGGGGCTGGGACTGGGTTGCACAGGGCTGTTAGATGCTGATTTGTCCGAAGTTTAGCCTAGGTCAGGTAACAGAGGGGTCTGCTCTTTGTAGCCTTTGAGCCACAGAGCTGCACAGAATTGCTACTCAGGGAGCTGATGTTTATCAGGCTCCACAACAAAACGCATTGCCAGAGGCTTTCCAGCATCGCTGTGCACAGCAGCCTGAAGGAGAAGCAGCAGAATTCAAATAACAGCTACAAAGGAAAGTTTTACTCATCTAAAAACTTTCTGAAACGTGAGAGACCCTGCTGTTGTCTTGGCCTGCACCTGGTTGAGATGGTCTGAAAGAAAACATTTGCTCCTGTGGTGCTGTTTGTCTTTTTTCTTCTTTAGATTGGGGTTGTTCAGCCTGGAGAATAGAAGGGTCTGGGGACACCTTCTAGCAGCCTTCCAGTACCTAAAGGGGCTACAAGAAAGCTGGAGAGGGGCTTTTTACAAGGGTGTTTAGTGACAGGAGAAGGGGCAATGGCTTTAAACTGAAAGAGGGGAGATTTAGATTAGATTTAAGGAAGAAGTTCTTACTCTGAGGGTGGTGAGGCACTGGAACAGGTTGCCCAGAGAAGTTGTGGATGCCCCATCCCTGGAAGTGTTCAAGGCCAGGTCAGATGAGGTTTTGAGCAACCTGGTGTAGTGGAAGGTGTCCCTGCCCATGGCAGGGAGGTTGGAACTGGATGATCTTTAAGGTCCCTTCCAACTCTAACCATTCTATGATTCTATGAAATTGGACTGTGCATAACACTGATACCATTTTAATCCAGGTATATTTAAGAGGCAGAAAACCAGGGTTTTTTTACACCACAGCATCAATCCAAACAAAATGTACTCAGGAACTCTTGATGCCTCTTATAGCTACACCAATACTCTCAAAGCATGGCTGGGTATAATTGTTGCTGTTTCACATGTGGGTCTGTCTTTTTGTAAAAAATCCCCAGCTATCCCAAGTTTAATGATGATTTTATGACACACAGAAACATTAACAAAAACATAAGTAGAAATAGTTGAGGGGTTGTTATTTGGGTAGAAAACAGCGCCCTTTTCTAATGAGAGGTCATCCTCTGAAAAGCACAGACCTCCCTGCTTGATGTGTCAGATGCAGGTTGTGTCTGCAGAGCTATTAGGATAATCTCAGCAGATGGGTTTAATAAATGTATGAAGCTACTACGTGATTTTCTTATATTTTTCACTAAAAGATTGTGCTAAATCTCTTCTTCCTTCTAGGTCCCCAAGCAGTGGAAGCACACAGCCAAAAATTTGAGGTGAAAACCCTCTCTGGAAAATTGCTGTTTTCTGCAGATGACAATGAAGTGGTGGTCGGAGCAGAGAGATTGAGAGTTTTAGGTAAAAGATTATTCACTAAATCACTGTTTTAATATGCGCCTCTTCAAATTTTAGTATAGTTTTGCTTGACTTTCCTTCATGCTTGCAAAAAGCTTCTTTTGGAGACAAAGCTTTTCGCTGTCTTTATTGCTTTGAATCTTCCCCAAGCAGATAATGGCCAGGAGTTTCTATCTGAGGCGTTTCTTAACTTGCATAATACGTTATTTCCCCTCCAGAAAAAAATCTCCCCTGGAAGTGGTCTGTCTGGCTCAGTGAAGTAGCTTTAAAACCAACTTTGGAAACTGAATGACTTTATCTCTTGGCTTGGGGATGAAGGACAGTGAGGGGTCGCTCTAAGGATGCTTCCATGGCTGCAGTCCCTGTGCGTAGGGAAACCTCAGGCTTCATGTTTTTGATCACAGCCCTTTCACCAGCTCCTCCTTCATTCTAAAGCAAACACCGGGGAGGAGTCCTGCAGTAAAAAAAGTCAACATGAATTGGGGTCCCACGTTAATTCTTTGACTAGTTTGGTGGCCTTTATATTGGCTGTCTTTCCTTAGCCACATGCAAGAGCACCGTGTGCATCTCTGAGCCATGTTCAGCTATGCTGTGGGTAAGGTTAAGCATCCTGTGTGCGGGAGGAGGGGTCAACCTTGCCAATGCCACCGCTTCCTCGTCTGCCTTTTGAGACAGACGGGGCAGCTTGAGCTCTGCTTTTGCCTGTGTGGGATCTGCCTCTCCAACTCTCCTGCCTGCTAGGCTTTACATCAATAGTTCCTAGTAAAAACTGAGGATGCACTTTGAGTTTGGGGAGTGGGGGTTGTTTATTGTTTGGTTCGTTGAGGTGTTTTTTATGATTAGAGAAAATAAGCAGTTATGGTAATTGTAAAATTTTAAAATATATTTGGTAGTTATATGAAATTATCTCTTAGGAACTTGAATTCTCTTGCTCTCCAGTTTAAACTGTGCTCTTTGATTAGTCTGAGATGTGCTTGTAAATATTTTCTCGTAGTACCAGACTGGGTAGCTCGCTAGTGCTAGCCGTTAGTCACATAGCAGTGCCACTGGGCTCTGTGGATGCACTGATACCTGTTTTCTAATGGCTTGATTTGGATGTATCTATTTGCTCCAAATTGTTCCTTACTTCTCCAGTAAGCTCCTAAACACAAAGATCAATGAAGGAGCTTAGAATGAGGTATTTTTAATTATTACCATTTCTACATATTATGAAGTGTATTATTAGTATATTATGTATAATCTAAAGGAGCTTAAAACGAGTGCCTCAGAATCTGACCATCATGAATGGGACTTTATATCCAACCCTTAACGTTTTTCGTTGGCTGATGTCGTGCTATTCTAGATGATTCCTGTTTGTAGAAAGGCCAGATGGAGCTCTTTGCCAGTCACTGTTGGTACATACTGGACTAGTTCAGTCCCCAGCTATACAAAGTTAGGTGATTTTTACAGGGTAAATGTTGAACATCACAAAAATAACAGTGTCTTTTTTAGCTTAAAACTTTGAAAAGGACCATTTGAAATTCTCGCAGTGTTACAGAGCTGGGGAACATCTGTCATAATCCGTGTTCTACCACAAATCTCCCTTCCCACTGCACCCTTCAGAGCTAATTAATTGTACAGTCTTTTGTGCAGGGGAGATGAAGTCAGGAAGCAACAGTTTATGAGTGTTTTCTTGGAGACCTTAAAATGAGAGAGATTCATTCGTTCTTCAAAAAAAATACAGAAACTTTTCCTTACAAGTTGCAAGTACTCCTTTTCGGATTGCATGCTTACAAAAATATTGCTTTTTATTTACTTTGTACTTCGGAGAAACCAGCAATTATTTTGATAGTTACTTTGAGTTTCTGCCTTGTTTAGTCTCCAGAATAAACAGCATCAAAAATATTGCTAACCACTGTAGAGCACTTTCATTTTTATCTGCAACGGAGTGTTTCTCAGGGTTTATTTGGCTTACACAGATCTATCAGAAAAGATAGAATGATACCACTGGTGATGTTACATGGCAAGTATTTCAATGACCTTGAGCTGAAATGCTTTCAGAGTCCATGCTTGGCTTTGTTTTTCTCCAGCTTTGCTTCCCCAATCTAATTTTATCTCCAAAAGTGTTTGCCGTGGCTGTTTGCCATGCTGGGAAGTGTTATACCATATGGTCGTATTTCTTCCAGTGTTTTTGTCTACACTTGAGGCTAGTTCAGCTTGTAGTATGCAGAAAAATTCCTTTGATCATTTTTCTGGTGTTTGAGATCTCAGGTGCTGTCGGTATGTGTCTGCTGACACCAGTCTACACAATGTAAATAATCTCAACTTGTTATTGCTGAACACGTTCTGGTTATAGAAGGAAGTGTGTGTCTGCAGTCTGGCAGGAAAGTCAACCTCACAGAGGTTAGAGCAGCAGTTATTTGGCTTGTGGACAGCTTTTAATCTTATTAATAATAATTACCTTTTTTCTTTGTACACTCTTCAAAGTTTATTCTGAAAGTTTGTTGTACAAAGTAATGCTGAAGCCTTGTCACAAGAAAAGAGATGCTTTCCTGTTTTGAAACGGACTCTACTCTGGGTAGCTAAAGAATTTTTCAACATTAGCAAGGCATTAAAAAGGGAGGAGTACACAGAATTATGGATAAAAAGAAATACAAGTAGGATATGTGCTGCATTGATGCTTCAAAAAATTGCACAGCCTGGGTAGTGCAGATTACCAAATGAAAGCGCTTATTATTTTAATTGTATTTTAGGGGGTTATTTCTGATTTTTAACCATTAAAGGACACTGAAAGACAGCGTTGGTCCCCTCTGCTTTTCATGCATGATGTAATGTAGAGTACTTCAATGGGTTTATTTGATTTAGTGAATCTAGTCAAAGTGATTGTCATAGGAGAGATTGGAGGATAACGGGAACTTCTGTTTGAGGACAAGGGCAGCCCTCTGAGCCCTTTGGCAGTGGTCAGCTCAGATAACATCTACACAACCTTTTCCAGACACAAGCACCAGTTCCCTCTGCCTTGCTCGAAGCCAACCGCGAGCTCAGCAGCTGCATTGGTCCAGATGACTCAGAAGGAGCTCATGTTTGCCTACAAAAAGTCATGTAGAAACTGAGCTTTCTGCCAAATCTGCTCTGCCCTTATTCTTCCAAGCTCGTCTGTCAGTGCCTGCAATTGCCCAGCCATCTCCTCCACTCTTGTGGTGGGATTGGACAGCAGCACATCCTTCCTTAATGTTAGCTCCACTTTCTTTTGCAAGCTTCACTCCTGCAGTATTTGAGCACCTCATGGTCCTTTGAAAGCAAACCTTGGAGCCGTGCTCATTCCTCAGAGCCGCGACTCTGCTTTTGCAAGGCTCCCGTTTGCGAAGGCAAAATCTGCCACTTCTCTGCCCGCTAAACAGCACCACGGTGCTGCCCCTGGGGTGGTGCATGGGGTCAAGTTCAAACCTTCCGTGCGCTGGCCGTTGCCGTGGTCAGCAGTGAGCTTTGGCAAGCACCACGTAGACGCAAACTGATGTCTCTCTGGATGTCCCCCACGGGTTCATAAACACATACGGTCTGCGTTATGGGAGATGAATGAGCTGGTCCTAATTGCATTGGTATGTGGTACGTCATACAGCGGTTCTCCTTCCCCTCTCCTCCCTCCAGAAATGAAACGTGTTCAGACTGTCTGAAAAATGGTGCATAAGAAATACTCTTTAGTTAAAAATGCATTAAAAGAAAACTTTGATATATATTAATTACCAATTTCATTTAATAGCATTTTGAACGTTATAGCATTTATAAACAAAAGACAATCATAAAGCATTATTCTGACTGTTAATTAGCTCTATTTATTCTCCGGATTAGTTTTTAAATATGCCCTCTAGATGCCACTTGATACTAATTAACAGAGTTACACTATTATCTCTATACAAAAGCATTTTTAATTAAATCTAAAGCAATTTAAATTAGCATGAGTTTTTACAGATATTAAACTCTGGTCAGATGCATAATTTAGCCTTATAAGACAACATCTGATGACATGCCAGTGTCAGTTCTCCCAAGGGCCTTGACATCTTTTTTGGAGATTATTTTTTGAAGTTTGTTTTCAGGGAAACTTGCCAGTATACTCTGGTGTTTAATATTTATGATGGATTTAACCAATTTTTTTTTAAGACTAAATATTGATGGGAATCCACATGCGTTGCAGTGAGCTGAGATAGAAACATAAAAGACGTGTTCCTGCAGCTTACAGGCTTTCGCAGTCCCTGGTTTTGAGTGGTGGAGGAAGGTTGGCGTGGGAGGTAGGACTGCATGGGCTGGACGCTGTCCTGTTACAAATCACTCTTGAGATTACCATTTTGCTTTGCAATAAGGATAGGATTAACCATAAAACTGCAAGATCCCTTTTCTGTAGTAGAATAATACAGAGATTGCTCCCAAATTGCCCCCACTCTACGTCCCTAGAAAATGTGCCTCTCACTTAGACATTTGTACTGCTATAGCATAAACTTTTCTTCTAATATAACCTAATGATAAAAATTTGGCTAAAGCCTTTCCCTGTGGCAAACCCTAACTAAAATAGCTGTATTTCGAGTGGAATAGGATGCCTTTAATCTCCCAATATAAAGTCTGGGGGTCCTGGTGGGCAGCAGGATGACCATGAGCCAGCAATGTGCCCTTGTGGCCAAGAAGGCAAATGGCATCCTGGAGTGTATTAGAAGGGGTGTGGTTAGCAAATTGAGAGAGGTTCTCCTCCCCCTCTACTCTGCCCTGGTGAGGCCGCATCTGGAATATTGTGTCCGGTTCTGGGCCCCTCAGTTCAAGAAGGACAAGGACCTGCTTGAGAGAGTCCAGCGCAGGGCCACAAAGATGATTAAGGGAGTGGAGCATCTCCCTTATGAGGAAAGGCTGAAGGAGCTAGGTCTCTTTAGCTTGGAGAAGAGGAGACTGAGGGGGGACCTCATTAATGTTTATAAATATGTAAAGGGTGACTGTCATGAGGATGGAGCCAGGCTCTTCTCAGTGGCATCCAATGATAG